TTTTGGGCCATTGTATTATTTCTTTTTCATAAGTATCTTATTTTTGGATCATAATTAGTAGTAACTCATAGTTAGTCTTGGTGGTAGATCTAGCATCTATTTAGCATCTTTCATAGGTACAAGTCACATTTTGGATCCATTAGGTTAATTCAAGATGAGTTGTGTCATCCAACACTACCAAAATATGACAGTTTTCATATGCACTGTAATGACATCAAGTCCAAGAACCAATTCCACCATCGATGTTAACGATTAACCACTGACCATCGGATAGTTATCCATGCGAAATCTGTGTTGTGGGTCTCCAATATTTTGTTCTCTTAATAAATATCCACGCATCCATTTAAATATTACCTACTCACTTCATAAGTGAGAAATGTCATATGTGCTGGTTTATCCATAATATCAATATTCGTTTCTTGTCATTACTTCTACTATGGATAATTTAAAATTCAATTATATGTAATTTATTTCTCATAATCACAGCTTATTGTGACTAACACGTTATCAAATTGTATATCTATGGATTAATTTAATATATCGGAATAATAATTCAATTAAATGATACATTTATCATAAATAGAATACATCAATCATATTAAAAGTGTTTATGTATGAAATCGATTGGACCTATGACATAACATTTACACAACCATTAAGCACATTTTGGACATGTTTATTGGAATTAAAATTGAAAATATTACACTTATATTAGTTGGAATATGTCCAATAAATTTATTATTAGAAATATCAAAGTCTCCATATTGAGATTGGTACTTGCTAACAACTCGAGAGTTCCTCTAAAAGCATTACCTCTAAAATAGGCTCCTTCGAGTCTAGTGTTGTTCTTTAACAACCAAGTTGGCTAATTTCTCCCCAAGTTGTTGTGTGAGAGATCAAGAATTCTCAAAAAGTGAGGTAGAGTTAGATGGCAATTTGACCAACTGAAAACCTCTTGTTGGAAGTTAGGGACCCATTTTCATAACACAATACTTGCTATTACTTCATTTTCTTTGGCAAATATGAAACAAAGACTCGACGGATTAAATAAAGCCACAAAGGAAATGGGCACGTGAATGTTACTTTAAATGGAAATATTTAAGTGGGGTGAGTTTCGAAAGCAAAGACACATCAATATCTCCACATAACTTATTCCTTGAGAGCTCGATCAATCGGAAGAGATGTCATGTTCTCTAGACATGATGGAAGCAATACTCATTTCTAATCCAATCCATCTCCTTGAGTATATTAAGTTGACAACACCCTCTTAAATTAATCACTAACAAACCAAACAAAGATAAGGAAAATTGGGGTTGATTATAAAATTTTTATTAATGAAGTTAGCTTTCCGTTCAATAAAAATTGACAATCGGATTCATTTTTATTTGTCCTTGCATATTATTTTAGATTTACTGGTAACATGAGTAACTATTTTCTTACGATTTTCTTAACAAATCTAGACACAACAACCTATTTTTAGAGAGATATATATACACATTCTTCAAGTATTAAGAAACATATTTATGAAAAGCTCGACCACTTAGCATTTATCACACTTTTTTTAAAAATTTCTTTGTAAAACAAATAACGAAAAAGTTCAATTGAAATAGAAGAGAAATACTGAAATTCAAGTCTGAAAATAGAAATAATTGAAGAAAAAAACTCATACATAGAGAGAAACTTATATATGTCAAAGTTTACCTCATTGAAAGGTGAAAAATTTACCTCATTGGAAAGGGAGCCGTTGAGTTCATGCCCAGGCAAAGTTTGCATCCAATGCTTTGAAGAAAGTTTGCATCCATAGATGAAGAGTCCAAAAATGATCCTTTCAAGGTACTATCACTTTTCATAACAAAAATATAAAACTGAATAATAGCTTGCACACTCTCTCTTTGACAAAACAAAATGTGACCTAAAATTAATGCACTAATTCTACATATGGACTAAGGAAAACGACTAAATGAAGAAGCTCTAATATAAATCTTTTAGAAATCAACTGCTGTGTTGCTCTTTGTTGTTTTTCTCAAACAAAATCATTTAGCTGGGAAACATATCACCTTCCCATGTATTAATACAAGTACGGAATTGAAAATCATTTCATACTTCTATGATTGAATATGCATACACACGGCCATCTTGGCTTCCTATCATGCTGTTATATTTTGCTTCACTGCTTCATTACTTTCGAATTATCAAATCTTGAAAGAAAAATGACAAAATTGATTAGTCTGATTGTAAATATATATTAGTTATAAAAGTTAGTATAGTATATGATGATCTTCACACAGAATTAAAGCAAATACCTTGATTTAGAAAATGGGAATATTGTCCAGAACACACGGCCTCAAAAATGTATTATATAAACCTTGATGAAATGAAACCATGTTTTTCTCTAGTGAGAATTTATGGATAGAACTGTAGCAATGCAAATCACTACAGATAAATTAGATATGATGAAGCTTATGTAGAAGAACTCCATGTCCATAAAATCGTGCTCCTCACTTTCATCATTAGCAGATGGCAAGATAGGTGTTGATCCAGTGCTAATACAATCAACGGGTAATGGATGGCTACAAAGATAAGGATTTCCCTGATAACTATCTTCATCGAAAGTCCGAAACTAAAATTTCTCTAGTATCATACCTGTTAAATTGTTATGCGCCACATTGAAGAATGCCAAATTGTTTAACTTGATCAGATCAGCGGGGATCCTCCCACCTAAGTTGTTATAGGAGAGACTAAGCTCTCGATCTGATATAGGTTTGAGAGTGTTTTTGGAATTGTTCCAATAAGATAGTTGTGCGACAAGTTGAATGAGTGGATCTCACTTAAATTTCCAAGGCCATCCGGAATTTTACCAAGTAATTTATTAAAAGAGAGATCAATTCCTGACATGTAATTGAGGATGCTACCTTTGTAAGTATAATAATTTCTCTTTGTCATGAATGTCACTGTAATTGGCACGTCAATTAATTTGGAAACTTCAGTTTCATGGAAAGTCGCACGATAGACCCTTTCTAACATAACCTTATACATGTAAGACCTGGGTGTTGTGTATGAAGACATCAATGATTCTCTAGACCTTCCAGACTTCTCCCTAGTTAAGTTATCAAAGCAGTGCCGGATTTGACCCGAAAGAAAATTAAAAGAAAGGTCTATCATCCTTAGTTGGTTCATCTCACAAAATTGGTGAGGGATTGTGCCTTCATAATGGTTAATGCTGAGAAGAATAATGTTCAGGCTTGATAGATTACTAATCCAGTGAGGGATACTTCCCATGAACATATTCCGTCTAAGGTCCAATAACTCCAAAGAAGAGCTATTGTAAAATGCATATGTGAGCTCACCTTCCAATTGGTTATTGTTCAAATAGATGTGCATTGATGGATTGAAGCAAGATGGGACTGAACCACATAATTTGTTCTCGGACAAATCTAAGAGGCGAAGATAATTGAGACTGCAAATTCCCTCCAGAATTGGACCCTCAAGCTAGTTGTTAGATCGAGAAATTTCAACCAATGTTGTCATATTACCCGCTGATAGGAATTCTGCCCGACAAACTGTTGTTACTAACGTCTAACACTACAAGAGGGATGGTAGACAAAATCTTTGGAATGGTGCCTGAGGACTCATTGCTATCCAGACAGTTGGTTGATATATTCTAGAAATATTTGTCCTTGAGATTTAACATCCGATAATTTGAGAAAATGCAGAGAAAAGCATCCCATAACTAATTCCTGCGGTATTCTGCCTGACAAATTATTGCTCGACAAGTGTAAAAATTCTATATATTTTAAGTCACCAAAACTAGAAGGTACCCAACTATCAAACATATTTGTTGATATGTTTAATGAGACCAAGCTTCGAAAAACTAAAGTTTTATTAGTTGGAACATGTCCATTGATAGTCACATAAGTCTTGTGTTGTTCTCCAACAACCAAGTTGAAAAATTCGGTCCTATGCTGTTATTTAGGAGGTAAAGAATTCTCAAATTGGATTGATAATAAAAGAAGTTGGGTAATGATGGACGACCTCTTGAATTCGACATACTAAAAACCTCTAGTTGAAAATTGGGAACCCAACTTCCCAACTCGTTGTCATTTATTATTTCATAATTTTCCAAAAAGTTAGTTTGAATGATTAAAGAATGCCCTGAAAGAAATTGGAACTTGAAAGTTGTTACTTGAAAGGGAGAGAAATTCAAGTGATGTGAGTTTCAAAATGGAGGGGAGGCAATACTTCAGGTGAAAGTATTGTGTGAGAGTTCAACGAATTTAAGAGATATCATGTTTGCAATATATGAAGTATTCCTTCGTACTCTTTCCAATTAAGATGTAACTCTTGGAGGTTTTTAAGTTCGCTCAACCCTGCAAATCAAATGAATACGATACCACTCAAAGTCCACCAATGAAATAGGGAATATAAAGGCTTTACCTGTAAAGAGAAAGCTCTTTCTTTTCTTTTTTTCTTTTTTTTTTCCTTTTTTTTTTGGTCTCGAAACTTACTTTCAAGTAAGAAAGATTCATTTTTAAAAGTGAATTTTTTTATTGGTGAATGACGACAATAAGTTACTTATTTTGAATGTAACTATTAACTTACTTATTTCCACTGTCACCAATTTATATAAAAAAACAAAAACACTATAGATTGTAAAAGTTAATTTCTTTTAGGTAACTATTAGCTTAACCTCTTCAAATTATATTAATTGTAAAGTCCTAAATGATGAAGTTAAATAGTTCTGTTGATACAAAACAGATGTTTTCATACATTTTTTTTCTATACAGTGAGGTAATCAATATCTATTCTTTTTTGAAAAATCTTATTGTAATTTTGCATCCATTAAAAGAGAATCGTGAGATGACTTCGCATTTATTAACTAGAAGTCCAATTGAGAGGCAATGAAAGTTGTAAAATAGTGAAAATAGAAATAATTGAAGAAATAATTTTTTGATCAGTATGCCAAGTCATGAAAATCATTGTTTAACAAATAAGATATTGAAGTTTACCTTGAACGGGAAGGGTGCCATTGAGTCCGCATCTGGACAAAGATAAAATCTTGAGGGAAGATACATTGTAGAAAGTTCCAGTCCACATTAGAATAATCCAAGAACAGTCCCTCCAGCTGTCTTAAATGTCTCAACTCTTATAAATGTAAGCAATGGAATGTGCATGAGAATATGGAGTTCATGTTGCATTTAGTATTATAATTTATGTGACTTGGAATTATAATTCTTTTGGCTTACCATAGGATCCAATACTTTCATTTGCATAATTGTACCGAAAATAGAAGTGCTTGAGGTAAAAGAATGCCTTTAAAGATTGCACCATGTTGCTAATGTTGGAGACGTATAAGTCATCTAATTTTAATACTTGGAGATGATGCATACTTTTGATGCCTGAAACATAGAATTCTCAAGGGTAATATTCAGGTTTAAGCGTATTAAAGTGTATTAATGTCCAATATTCATAAAATAGAAACTTGAAAACCTTAGTTGAGTACCTGTTAGAAGTGCGTCGAACCACACATTGCGTGGCAACTTGGGGCTGGTCATATTTTCTTTTGGCATGATTGTTGGATGGGAGATAGTTCTTTGGTGTCGATCCTCCCACATAGGCAACACACACCTGAGAGGGTGCACGAATTTTTCAAGGAGACTGGATGGAACTTTGGACGATTAATATAGGCTCTTCCACCAATTATAGCAGAACAGATTGTGAACATGCCATTATGTATTGACGTCCCAGATCATATTTTTTGGAGGGCTACATCAGATGGTAGATTTACCACTAAGTCTGCATGGCAGTTGATTTGTCCTAGCAAACCGTTACAAGATTCATTTTGTCTCCTTTAGAACCCTACCATACCTACCAAAATCTCATTCTTCTGTTGAAAATTGTGGCAGGATTTGATTCTAGTGGATACTATTAATCAAAGGAGAGTTGGCAGTCAACTGGCTTCTCAATGTCAATGTTGTTCTGAGATTGAGACAATTACCCATATTTTTACTGGTAGTAGTATATTAGATCAAGTCTAGCAGCACTTTGTCCTCTTATTTCAGATTACTATGATTGCAGGCGAGAGCATCAGACAAAGATTTCTATGATGGCGTTACTCTGGACAGCTTACTTGGAGTGGACACATTTGCATCATTATCCCTCTACTAATTTTCTGGTTTCTATGGATAGAAAGAAATGGCGCAAAGCATAGGGGTATCTGTATGAGATCAAGACGAATCATTTGAAAGATATATCGTATGGTATCATTCCTTCACAATGGAGGATTATTTCGACCATTACACTGGCGTAATGTCATGTAGCTTGCTCCACTCTTTGGGATTACTTTGACCCTCCCTTCATCTCCTCCCCTCATTATAGTTTAGTGGCACACTCCATTAGTCGGATCTATAAAGATCAATACTGATGGATGTGTCAAGGATGACTTTGTGAGCGAGGAAGGCATCATTAGAGACTGCATAGAGAAATGCATATAGACATTTTCAACATCATATAGATAGTGTAAGATATCAGAAGCAGAGCTTAAGTTTATTCTTGATGGGATATTACTGGGTAGAGGTCTTGGATTTTTAGACATTTGGGTTGAGGCAGATTCCAGTGCAGCCATTCATTGCATCACCAAAGGTGGAGGACCATGGGCTATACAAGGCATACTCAGAAGGATTACAGACATCATCTCCTTCGATAGAGATAGAGTTACCTATATCTACAAAGAGGGAAACCAGGTTGCAGACATTATTGCCACAGAAAGTTGGGAGCACCGGCGATATCAAACGTATAGATCTGCTGACCTACCATGTCATAATCAAGCAATCGCACAAATTGATAGATATGGACTGCCCAACTTTAGAATATGAATTGTAATTCTTTTTTAATTTTTAGTTGTAGTTGTTTTTGTTTTTTGCCATTAATTGCATCAAATCTTATTGTAAGGAAAGTAGTACTTCCTCTTTTACCACTTACCACATTTTCTTTAGCATTTTCAATTATTTTAAGGAAAGTAGTCTTCCTCATTTACTGCTTTCATTTTTCCACATGTAACTACGATATTCCTCTGCCACAAGTGAGGGCAAATTAATAAAATTTTGAAAGTACTGCCTTCCTTTAACTAAAAACAAAAAGTTACGGTGTGGTAAGTAGATTTATCTAAAATGAAATTGAGATTTTCATTTCTATATACAACTTTAATTAATGTTAAAATTTCAGTTGAGTTTATAGCTTTTATATTGTTTTTTCCATGGACTATGTTTTTGCATTCAAAGAATTAGTAAAAGTTGAAATTCCGTTATCTGGTCTTCACTCCAAAAATTCTAGCACTCGTATGTTTTTTTTCTCAAAAATGTTGTATTGTTACTGTATTTTAAAATTATTTACTCCCTTTGCTTTTTCTCGTAATACACTAATAAGGTTAAATTGGTTTTTTGATCTGTACTTTTAATAGAGAAAATTAAAGGTTTAGAGAAATTGCTTATCTTATACTGCAACAAGAAAAGTTTAATTATAATAACTTGATTTATTGTCTAAAGGGCTGATTCTTCGATAATTACATGATCTATGAAATAACCACCAGAATATGAAGTATTTTGAACTTACTATTACCGTAATTTTCTCTCTCTAAAAGGTATATTCGAAATCTCAAATGCTTGAGAGAAGAAAGCTGACTAAGAGATGACAAAATTTTGCGATGAAATGAATTGTAACTCAGATCAAGGGCCTATTTCTCAACTTCGACAATTTGTCAAAACCTACAACAAAGTTCAACATATATTATTTATCACTCAAACAAAATAGGAATAATAAAATTGAAGCTATCTAAGTAAGGAGAGATGACATCATACCTTCGTTCTCAATCCAGCCTAATAACTGATTCCACTGCAAAGAGAGATTTCTAAGCCTTTGAAAGGGAAGATATAGAGAGGCATTAAAATACCAATGTCCTAATTTCCAATTCCTAGAGGCATCAAGATAAAGTAGGATTACTCGTTTAGTTGTGTTGCTGCATTCAACCCCGTATCATTGACAACAGACAGTTTCAATCTCATTAACCACCCGTGAAAGCAGCGATCTTCCATCTGGAAAGTTCATGTTTACTTTGAGGTACAAAAGAGCAATCCTTTCTTCCTCCTAACACCCTAAACAATACCATTCATTTAGTAATGAAAGCACCATCATCACTAGCATTACCCGTAACTTTATTCCCATCTTTCTTAATTCTCAACACACTTAATCTGCAAAAATATCTTTTATATGTTGCTTGGCGGATTTTCCACTTTGGGAGCTTCCCTTTTTAAAGGAGAAAGTTGATTTACAGCGGATTGACTGGAACCACTACTATTTAGTTTTATGACTTTTTCAGTGTATAATATTGCCCCTACATTATTGTCCAAACTCCAGGAAATTTCCTATAAATTCCATACAACAAATAAGACGTGTAGATTTTTTCTTCTTTTTCTTTTCTTTTCATTTTTTTTATTTGGTAAGAAATTAAGACTCATGATATTCTACAGTCAGGTCTGGACTAATTAATGGCGAAATGAATTCTACCATATATTTCCTATCTGTAATGTCACAAGCTAAGGGACCTCCTGAGGAAAATGATGCAAACTATAATGAGGAGACTTTGACTTGGGATTAGCAAAATGTTAAAGCCATTAATTCGACGGAGACTTTGACAGAAGCAACGTCAATTTCAACCTAGTAGTAAAAATATTGAATTATTAAGAATGTAATCCACTAGTTTTTTTTCCCTATTAAATCATTAATCAGTCCCCAATGCAGTCTCGATGTCAATAAATAAATAAATAAATAAAAATAAAAAGTAAGATAGCTCCCTTCACCAAATGCCATTAGCAAATACGGCTTTTTTGTATTTATCGGGACTTCTATACTTGCTTATTTATTGATAATTATATTGATATCTATGTAACTAATTTTCTCTAAATTATATTAACTGTAGGAAAAAAATTTCAACTTGAATACAATTAACATTAAAATGATTTTCTGAAGCTTAAATAGAGCATGTTCAGAGCAATTGAAAATAACCGGAATGCAGATGAACAATTAGAAGAATTAATAGAGCATTTAGAAGAGACACATAAAATTCAGCAGTTAAATTCAACAAATAGAAAGTCTGAAATTTAAATTACATATTTTTGCTGGAAATCATCTTGAAAGAACTTATTCATGTGTAATGCTACTAACGCGGATTCCCATCTAGCTAATAAATGTGAACTTTGAGTTTCATTAGTTATATAATGATTATAAATATGACTTGCCATGCTTCAAACTTAAGATGGACCAATTTCGAATTATTATGAAGTTTTGGGGCTAATATGGAAGATTTTGCAAATTTCAATATCAAAATTGAAGATTAGATTGAAAAAAAATAAAATCATATAAAAGCATAATATGAGGACCTAATTGAAAATTCAGGGGTTGACCATTGTACAGCCCAAACTGCTCATTTAGTCCTACGTTGGATCCATCCGGCCTGGTTGCTGACTTTTTTTATTTTTTGGTTTCCATGATCGCTTTTCTTTCATTTTCAAAGCATAACTACCAAAAATTTTCCAGCCCATAAATTGACCATGTTTGGTTATAAAAAGAGGTTTCATTATATAAAATTAGAGATAAAAGGGAGAGAAAATCGAAGTGAAAATGAAGAAAGTAGGATTTATAGTTTTTAGATTGGGAGAAGAAGATTCTTGGTGCAAGATCATCAATTTTTTCTCATTTATATCCTTCAAACCCAATGAGATACTTTAATTTTTTTCTTGGTGCAAGATTATCAAATTAATAATTAACTTTTTTCTTTCAAAACCTATTTGCCAATGTTTGATTTAGTACGTGCTTTCTCCACGTTTGTACGTGAGCCATCCTTATCAATGATGATTTTCCTAGACTTTCATTTTTCTTTCAAGAAATTAGAATTATATCTTCACAATACGCAAATTCAATGGTTCTATTCTTTACTTTTACACAAGAATTTACAAACAGAAATACAAATCCGTAGGAGGTGAATAGCCACTCCTTTTCGTTCCAAAGTCGGTGAAATTTCCTCTTTCCACATGAAATTGGTATACAGCAATCAATGAAAAGTTTACATAACTAATCCCAAATAAAATACTTAATTGTTGTGATAATTGTGCATTATCCTACACACCTTTTCAGTTTTTAAATAAAAGCATTACAGCAATTACCGAAGGCATTTAGCATATTAAGTGAATAAAACATAAAACACTTTATGTACTCAAAGACTAAAAAGTATACATACAAAATATAACAAACTCACTCATCAGAACAGCTAATTGATTCGTTAGGTGACATGAGTTACACAAGCTAATAGGAAATAGGCACGTACCTCACTACACTTTAATGGAGTCAATAGCATTCACGTCATGATGCATTTAATTTTTCCACAAAGGCAGATTGCTAAAAGGTCACCATTATATATAAATGCACATAATGGTTATGGTAATGGCAAATATTGCCAATTTCCAAGTGCTTTATGAAAATTGGTTGTATACACACTTCATGATTCTCAAGTAATTATATAGAACATTTTACATGTGCAATAACTAAGATTTGCATCCTACTTATAACTTAAATAATGCACACATCATCTCCAACAAGATAATCGAAACCAATATTTTAACAACACACACCAATTACATGTAAACTGAATGACTTAAAAGAATCCATGCATAAACTTGAAGTTTCCGATTTACATACATTTGACTATTTATATGGGTTGAATGTAACCCTCAAGGTGAACATTGCTCCTGTCACTTGCTTTGGAGCCAAAGCAAAATGCTTCTATAAGCAGTGATTTAAATTAACCTTCCAAGTGCATCCATCAGGAAACGAACCTAAGAATTTTCCCTGACTCATTATCAAATATGCATGTAATACGAGAACAACTTTTATACTTAGAATGCAACTTTTATACTGGTGCTAACATGATCAAATGGATGTATATCACACAAAACACGGCTCTTTTTTCAAAATTTCTATATCATAATATTAATTTTATCAGGGCAAACCAATGTTTGGCTATACTCTTCCAGATCGGATGATATAGGATACAAAATATTGAACAAGAATTTAAAAATAATTAAGAATTAGTTTAACAGAGTTTGGAGAAATAAGGAATTAGAGATCAATTATTTGAAATTGATTTCGAGCAACTAAAATGGAATGAAATTTATAGATTTATTGTGTATTTTATGAAGATGCACATTTTGGTATATATTAATATGGATAATTAAACAATACTTTTTCAATATATATCGTGATCTAATAGTCTAGATCGCTCTCTATCAAAAAGTCGTGTCTTTTAATTATGTACATTTTCAGAGATAGCCACACACAATCTGAAAAATCGTGACTATTTATTATGCATCCT